ATGGAATGAGGATGCAAAGATGCACTTTAAAACACTTTTCAAAATTTTCAGAGTAGGGGTCTCCCTCAAGCGTGGCTTTCTTCGCTCAAGCGATCTTGTCAAAATAGTGGGGTCGCTCGAGCATTGACTTCTTCGCTCGAGCGGTCTGTAAAAATGCAAAAAGTGCTGAATGTTGAAAATCCCCCCTCGATGCTCGCTCGAGCGTGAGACACATCCTTCGCTCGAGCGTAGGTCTCGTCGCTCGAGCGTGTGTCTGCGTGCACCAAAAATCTGAGAGCTTGCAATCTACACTTGAGCAAGCATTCCTTTGCTCGAGCGGAGCTCTGAACAAAAGGCGGTCGCTCGAGCGTGGAATCCTTCGCTCAAGCGTGGAAGCCAAAATCTGGAATTTCCAAGTTTGCCTCCCAAGCTCAAACCAAGCATTCAACACCTCAAAACTCAACTTTTTGGGCCCATTTTCTGAAAAACACTTGGAAACCAACAATATAACATGTTTTGAAGATCAATTTGTAAAATCAAAGCCCAAAGGTGAGTCAATTGAACACCATTTCAAAGAAGTTTTCATGAATTATGTAAAAACATAACATGCATGAACTCTTATGAACTCTAGTGCTCTAAAACTTGATCAAATGCAAGATTAGGCTCAAAACTATGGTGAATTCATGGACTATAACATAAACATGAACATGCATGTGGAAATTCATGAAGAACAACCTCAAAATTCAAGGACATGTACATGCATGCATGGATTAATTCTCAGTTCAACACTTTAAACCATAATTTGACTCTAACCTCCAATAATCCCATGAACCATGCAAGAACAACTCAAATGTACAAATGAAAGGATGAAATCTCTACCTTAGGTCTTGAATTCCAAGTATAGAAGCTCAATTATGCAATCTCTCTTCAATTCCTCTAGATTCAAGCAAGATTTCAAGATGAATTCCAAACTTCGCCTAACTCTCTCTCTCTCTCCCACAGTTTGGGTCTGGAAAAGGCTGAGGAGATGATATGAAATGTGTATGAATTGAGTTCCAAACAATGGTACAAAAAGTGGCCCACTAATGACAATATGGTAATAAAAGCAAACTAATGCAATTAACATTATTTAATCTAATTTAATCATTCTAAATTGAACTTTAATTAAACGTATCATAAAATCATATAAATTCTAATTAGCATAAAATACCAATCAATTTCTGAATCGGTCGCCGATAAGGCTTTCAATTCGCAGTTTAAAGATAAAACGTAAACAGTTCATTTAATGACTTACAGATAGAAATGCAATTAAACAACATACTCATACATTCAGTTCAGAATTTCAGTCTGTTCAATTACTTATCATGCTCAATCAGAGATTAGCACTAATCAGAGGTGAGGGTTGTCACAAATGGATAGTGCAGTAAATTGATATTGTTGTAGAGATGTTTGAAATAGAGGAATGTTATTAGCCATTATGTATTGTATCATGTTCTCCTTTGATTTACTACCATCATTGCACATTTGAAATGAATTGGAAAACGTTTACTTTGAAAAAGATTATACTGTAATGAGAACTATGAAACTTTGTATGGGGTAAATATGGTGGTAAGTTCGATTAGGGGGAGTAGATGAGTTTGATAAGTTGACTTGAGTGTCCATGGTGAAAGACCAGAAACCGCGCGGATAGGTGTTGAGCCTTCCGATTAATCCCGGTAAAAATGATAGTTTGGTAGTACTCGTAGAGTCTACTTGCAGACACCAGTCTTGGGATTACCAGTGTCGTATTTACAGCCCCTTGTGATTAAAAAGTTTAAATTTGAAAATTGATGAGATCGTAATTGTAAATGAAATGCATGGTGTTTCTCAAAGAAGACATGAATAATATTTTGAAAAGAGTATTGCATCGCATTTGCACTTGCATTCAATGTTGGCCATCTAACATAAATGTATATATTTTGTTTGGTATTTCTCTACTGGGCTTTATGCTCACCCCTATGGGATTTGGTGCAGGTAACGACGTGGTGATCCCGCCAAGTTGAGGGCGCGGATAATTGTAAAGAGCACATGGCTTTTCTTTTGTTGTGATTTCTTTTGTAAAGCTAAGGGCTAACATGTATGGGTCCAAAGACCACTTTTGTGTAACCAGGCTATTGCCTTGGAAGATGTAAGCCCTTAAGGGCATGTTATTATTTTGAGATTAAATGCTTCACATGCTATAGATTCACATATTCTTTAGTGTTGTGAATGTATACTGCATGTGGAACTTTTGTATTAAACCCATTTATTATATATATGAAGATGAAAGAGTTATTGTCTTTGTATAGTGAATGTTTGTTCATTTGGGGTTTCATGTTGAATTATTTCGAGGCGTGACATTTCTGCTCTGTTTTTGAGGTTCCAAATTCCACAAAATCAACCCAAGGTCAATCAAATTAAAGGCCAAAACTTAACAAACATGATGTACAAATAATTTCCAAGTTCAACTCAAGAATAGGGCTTCAAATTCAAACTCAAGTTCCATAATCTCATCAACAACTTCAAAATTAGATGGAAACTCTATGTTTTAACAAAATTATGAACATCTAACTTAAAGTCAAGCAAGATCAAATAGATGAGCTTTATTTATATCAAGATTTGAAGAATTCCTCTTATTAGGGTTTTTAACACAATTTATTCTACCTAAGCCTCTCATTTCTCCTTATATTCTATGAATTCAAGGTGGAAACTAGTTCTTATGCAAGAGATTAGAAAGAATTGTACCTCCAGGAGTTAGTTTAGTCAAGTTGCCTCAAGATCTCCTTTACTTCCTTCACTTCTCTTCTTGTTCCCTAGAACTCTCTCTCACACTCTCTTTTCTCTCCCTCTTTGAGTTCAACATATATATATATATAAAAGGTATAAGCATCTATGTCTAATTTACTTAAATAATTTAATTAAATTAGAAATACACCCATCAAATGTTAACCGAACCCTTCATTTTCTGATTATGGTGAATTAGGCTCTAATCACCTAGTCCACTAGTTACTACATAACCTTACAATTTAACGAATCAGACAGGTTTTTTTTCATAAAAGAGCATATCTGTTAACAAACATGACGCACATAAATAAGCATATAAAGCATAGATAAAGATATAATTAAAATTAATCATAAAAGTAACAAGTAGATGAGAGGCAGGTGTTACACTGTATGTATATACAAAGTCAACTAGTTATTAATATATTCGAGAACGACAATCTTAAATGAGATACAAATTCCCTTGTTTACTTCTGGAAAAGGCTTTTGAGATTAAATCAATAATCCTTGTCAGTTATGATAGTTGTGGTCCAATAAGAAACATCTTATGCTTTCATTCACAACAACATAAAATAAGATTAATAACATAAAATTAAGTGACGTTCCTCGAATGCTATACAGCTGAGCTGACACATAAGAAAAATCCAAGTTACATATGTGAACTGCTTAAGTTGTGCAAAGAGTTTTATGAAAGGTTTATACATGAGAAAAATCCAAGTAACATACGTGATCTGTTATGTTATTGAATCTGTTATGCTATTAAATCTGTAATTATGTTATTGAAATTGAATATGTAATATGTTATGTTAATGAAATTGAATTTGTAATTTTTTTAATCTAGTTTAAATGGATGATAGTGTTCAATCTCCCGCAATCAATCTTTTACCTTTGGAATCATCTAATTCTCAAATGAATCCCCCGTTAGCCGAACCCGAACTTGAACCTAAGCCTTCTAGACCCCCAAAGAAAAAGAGTGAAGATGGAGGGGGAGAGCACCATCCAAAGTTTGGGATCATTTTGATAAAGTTATAGGGACCGATAGGAAGCGTAGAGCCGTATGCAAATATTGCAAAAAAAAAGTATTTGGCTAACTCTAGACCCAATTGTAAAGAATATCCGAATAAGGATAGAGATGGTCAACAAATATTAAATCTTAAACCGAAACAAAATGAAGAGGGTGTTGAGGTTGTAGCAACAACTTTTAATTTTGATGCTTGTAAAAGGTCTCTTATGGAGATGGTTGTCATTGATGAGTTGCCATTTAGATTTGTAGAGGGAGTTGGGTTTAGAAGATTTTGTAATGTCATGCAACTGAAATTCACACCAATCCCCTCTCGTCATACCATATCTAGAGAAGTGCTTAACATATTCAAGAATGAAAGAGATAAGTTAAAGAAGGCCATGAAGGGTTGTAGAATTTGCTTTACTACGGACACTTGGACATCTATTCAGAATTTGTGTTACATGTGTTCGATTGCTCATTTCATTGATGATAACTGGAAACTTCAAAAAAGAATCATAAATTTTCAACAAGTTGAAGATCACAAAGGATAAACATTGGGTAGGAAAATTGAGTCGTGTCTGATTGAGTAGAACATTGATAGTATATTCACCTTAACAGTTGATAATGCTAGTTCTAATAATATTACCATTCAATATTTGAAAACAATAACCAAAGATTGGAAGGGGACTATTTTGCAACATGAGTTTATTCACATGCATTGTTGTGCACATATTCTTAATCTCATTGTGAGTGATGGGTTGAAAGAAATGGACGATTCTATTGCCAACATTAAACTTGCGGTGAGATATGTAAGGTCTTCTCCTTATAGGCATAATGCTTTTAAGAAATGTGCAGCTACACTCAAACTTGATTCAAAAGCTCTTGTATGTCTAGATGTACTAACTAGGTGGAACTCTACCTATTTGATGTTGGAGGCCGCCGAAAAGTATGAGAAGGCTTTTAACCGCTTGAAGTTTGTGGATTCCAATTTTGAATCTTATTTCAAGGATGTTGATGGTGTCATAAGGAGAAGTCCTAATGAGTTGGATTGGAAAAAAAATGTAGATTGTTTTTGAGGTTTCTAAAATTATTTTATCTTGTAACTAAGAAGTTTTCGGGGTCTCTCTTTGTTACTTCCAATGTTTTTTACAAAGAAATGTTTTTTATTGAAAGCAAAATTAACCAATTAATTTTGGAGGAAGATGATACTTTGAGCACAATGGCAAAGACTATGAAACAAAAGTTTAGCAAGTATTGGGAGGATGGAAGTAAGATCAATTTGTTATTGTATGTTGCGGTTGTTCTTGATCCTATCAAAAAAAATGACATACTTGAGTTTTGCTTTTCAAATTTATTTCTTGGAGATAATAAAAATGTGGAAGATATGGTAGACAAGGTTAAGGGTTGTTTGAGTCATTTGTATAGCCATTATGTCACACTTTGTCCTTCAAATGAGAAACTTCCAAGTGTGAGTGATGTTGTGAATATGGTGGAAAATGATGATGATGATCCTTATTCTTTGGTTGACTCCCAATTTAATTCCTATTTGGAGGGGCTATGCATTAGTGGATCTAAGTCGGAATTGGAACAATATTTGTCCGAGGTTGAACATTTTGCAAAGAATCAAACATTTGAGATTTTGGATTATTGGAAGGTTGAAGCTCTTGTATGTACTTAAAATTGGCTTCCAAGCAACCTTTCAATTTCTCTTCAAAAAGTGATGGATGATGTGAAGGAATTTGAGCAATATGACTCGGCTAATATGAGAATTTATTTATCTTCATTTTTATTTGTATTGTTTATTTTCTAATGTAAGTTTTATTGATTTTCTCTTGTTGACTCTTAATTAGGTACTTTGGAGTCAAGCCCATGTTTAAGTTCAACCTATAATGTTGATGCTAATATTATAATTGAACTCTAATCCATTTGCTCATTGGTAAATTTTTCATATACTCAACACATTTTCTTACTATATTGAGATGCAATAATATATAGACATTTGTTTATCTTTTTATTACTTTATTCTTTTACATTTTTTTTGTCAAAGGAATTATGAAGATTGAAGATTAATTTTTTTATTTTTCAGTTTGTTTTTGTGCAGGGTTCATCAACCAAATGCATCGAATTGAAATTTTTGGAACTTAGATGTGATTCATGATGATAGAGTTTGAGATATTGTGTTGCAAATGTTTTTATTTTATTTTATGTGACAACAATTTTATTTTTTATTGCATTTTGGATGAATTGATAGTTAATAAAGTTTGTTTGACAACAATTTTATTTTATTTTATTTTTCATTTTATTATTGCATTTTGGATGAATATAATAGTTAATGAAAAATTACTTTTAGGTAAGCTTAGGATTTTGAATAATTTTACTTTAATTTTGTATTATTGGGTAGTAGTAGATGGAGAATGTTGAGAAAGTAGTTAGAAAATAAGATTGATGATTTAGCTTAGGATTGTGAATGATTTTACTTTAATTGTATTGTTGGGTAGTAGATTAATTTTGAATGATTTTAGGATTTTAAATGATTTGTTTGTGTTAGGAATTGATTTTGTTGTGTTTTTAATTTTATAAGTTTTAATTTATTAATTATTAGTGTTGAAGCATTTTAGAAAATTGGAAGAAAATGACCCAAAATAAATATTTACAAAATGGGAAAAAAAACTCAAAATTTAATTTTTAAAGGAAAAAATCCAAATCGCACGCTCGCACATCCGCAAACCCTATTTGCACAAACCGCAAACCGCACAAATCTGATTCGCGAGCACCCCTAGAATTTAGGATTGTAAAAATGGCCTGCGGGCCGTGGGCGACCCAAAGCCCGCTAGCGCCCCAGGGTGGGCCCGACCTGATACCTTAGGCCATCATTTTAAAACCTGGCCCATCGGCCAACTTAAGGCCTACTTAAGGCCCGGCCCGCTCAAAGCCTAATGTTTTTTTTTTTTGGGAAAATAATAAAATTTTGGTAGGAAAAAAAAAATGTTCAATCCTGTCCAAACCCAGGCCTATCAACTCGAATATCCCGTGGGCCTGGGCCTAATTTTCTGGCTCGTGGGCCAATCTGGCTCGAATTTTGGCTGGAGCCCATGAGGCCCGTCATGGGTTGGGCCGGGCCAAGCCAAATTTACACCCCTAGTGGTATTCTACCTATAATGATAAAGCGGCCCAATATGTGATTTGCCCAAACCGCCTGCATCTGATCCGAAATCCCGAATATCAATTCAGTCGAATTCGACAAGTGGTTGGTTTGAAAACAGTCGGGCTGAATGCAAATCCAATTAGATCCGATCGGCTAACGGGTAAGGGTCCAACCCGTCCTTGACCGACCCGTGAACACGTCTAATCCTTACCCTCATAAAGAAAATTCACTGTAATGCATACTTTTTAAAAATAGAATAAAAATTAAGATTTTTTAAAAATTATATTTTAATTAGATAAGGTCTTTTACTAATTTATAATATTTAAGGACTTATATTTTATTTTTGTAATCTTTTCAAAGACTAAATATGATTGAATTAAATAGATTCAACTGATAGTGTAGGGACTAAATGGACATTGATTTATATACTCAAGGACCTTAATAGACTCAATCGATAGTTTTGGATGTTTCTCTCCAGTCCTAATCTAGACTGAAGAAGACTATTCGCGCCTGTGAAGCCTATTATGGGTTTCGTTTTGATGATCTGAACCGTTCATTTTATCAGGTCCTGCATGTATATTATTTATAAATAAAAAAATCAGGTCGATCCAATGTTCGTAGCCACTTCATTTTATAGAATTTGTCTCTAAAAAAAATAACGGTCAATATGTTTTAAAAATGCACAATCCTTTTTTTTTTTTTTGGTACAAATGCGATAAAATGAAAAATTTATGAATTTAAAAAAAAAAAAAAGTGTCTTCTTAATAATCAAGGGATCCAAACATGTTATTAACCTTTAAATTTGACACAATTAATCAGATTATAATCAATATTTTGAATGCTTCATTCAAGCATGAATAATAAATCAGAGAGTAAGAGAATTGAAGCAAAGTAATATTCATTCAAGAATGAATAGTAAATTTGATATTGTAACAATCAAGGAATTGTAATATTCATTGAAGCAAAATAAGAACCAAAATGACCAAAATATAGGTAACACTGTAACTACAAAACAAGAAAAATATGTGAACTATTCACATTGTAAAAACCAAATTAATCAATGTTTTCTTCTGTTTTCTTCTCTTCCAAATATGTTGATTGTTGTGGAGTCAATTCATCAATATTTTCTTTTGTTTTGTTTTATACATCTGCTAATTCTTGTGGAGGCAAGTCATCAATGCTTTCATCAACTATTTGTTATAGAGTAATTTGTTTGTCAATCAAGAAGATAGTTAATATATAGACTCTCAATTGATTACATTCTTTATCGGAAAAAGTAGGCATTATGTTGTTGTTGGAAACATATTGTCTCATGATATAGCAAACAATGATTCCGCAATCAAGCTTGCAAAAACATTTTGAGAACAAAGTAGATAAAAAGTTAGAAGAAACTTTTAATGATACAAAAGCATGGATAGTTAAGAAATGTAGCGATGGCATTTATGAAATCTAACTGGATCATTCAGTTATGGTTGATATTGGGAAACGTTGTTGTTCTTGTCGATTGTGGGAAATTGATTCTTTTCCTTGCAAACATGGTTTTTGTGCTATAAAGAGGAGTGAG